AAAATCCAGTTAAAAATATTGTTATGATCAAGTCAGGGGCTTTTTCTGATAGTTATATAAGTTTCAAATGATAGTTTTGAACGATGGATACTTTTCAAGCTATAATTTTAAAAAATGTAATTTTGAGCGATTATGCCTTATGAGAAAGTTGAAAAGTTTGAAGTTGTTCAAAAATAATCCTGACTTTAAACATATACAAATAGCTGATTTTGCATGGGTGTGGTGGCTCATGCCTGTAATCCCAGCACTTTGGGAGATTGGGGCAGGTGGATCACCTTAGGTCAGGAGTTCGAGACCAGCCTGAGCAATATGGTGAAACCCCGTCTCTACTAAAAAATACAAAAAAAACCTGACCATGGTGGTGGGTGCCTGTAATCCCAGCTACTCGAGAGGCTGAGGCAGGAGAATTTCTTAAACCTGGGAGGAGGAGGTTGCAGTGAGCCAAGAACGTGCCATTGCACTCTAGCATGGGCAACGGAGCAAGAATCCCCCCCTAATATATTTCCAAATAACCATTTTTAAAGAATAAGTCAAATCAGAAAAGTTCTAGAAAATCTGATACCCTGAAATAGAGGACTTAATGTGCATGTATCCAGCATTCCCATCATTTTATAAAGTCATTCCCATCATTTTATAATTTTGATTTCTTGTTGCAGAACAGAAAATAAATTTACTGTCTAAGTAAGTTTGTAATGGCCCAAACATTTGGACTTTGTACTGGTGTTTTGGAGGAAAACAATTATCACCTTTCTAGAGGTGTTCCTACTGACTTCCTAGAGAACATTCTCAGTAACTGGAGGCTTTATCTCTATCAGTCTTATTTACAAAAGTCCTAAGCCCAAAGTTCTTTCCAATGGCCTGGCATCCTGGGAGTTCACTTGATCTGTTGGGCAGAGACATTTCAAACTCAGGGAACATATGATGGGAATTTAGTTTTATGTATCCCAAAGATATTTACTTCTCTTTGAAGGTTTTACTTGATAATAGCTATGCCCCAGAAAACCATCTTGTTTAACCAATGTGATAAGTTGACAATGTAGTTTTTCTCTCTGATTATAATGTACTCTGTGTAGTCAATACACTGGTACCATGTGAGTGTAATTTCCTCTTTTATTTTATCTCCAATGCACTGTATTATAAATAAACAGTTAAAAAAAACACCAAACAAATCTGTTGCATCTCCTTTTAAGATTGTACCACTGTAGACACTTGTTCTAGTAAAGTAGAATTGGGCGCATTTGATTGCATTTAAATTTTTCATGCTTCAGCAGTTTGGCTGGGAGCACAGTAAAGAAAAATCCCATGAGCGAGGATAGTTTAGAATAATAGAACTTGATTTTGTGTATTATAGCGGCAACATTTGCGCTGCTTTAGTTAGGGTTGTGTCAGCATTTCCATTATAAACCCCTGTTTTCAGGGGGTATAACTAGGGAGATTTTTTTTTTAATACAAATTAAAAAAACAATTCATTTGAATGATTTTTAAGTTATAATAGTGCAAAAATAAAACAAAGTAAAGTCACATCAAAATTGACCATTTCTACAAGGATTTTGATTTTCTTTTGCTTATTAGTTGTATAAGGCAGCATCTAGAGTAAGGTACTGTGGGGATGAAAATTTTTGCTATGGAAAATTACTGATTGAGTATTAAAATAAGTGTAAGCAATCCACATGACATTTAAAAACACTGAAACAAGGGTATATTTGATTTATGAACTTCTAAAGGAGAGTAGCTATGGTACAGCGGTTATAGTAAAGGCATTACCAAAAGTCAAGTGTTGTTGAAGCTTCTAGCATACAGTTTGGTTGGTCTAGTAAAACGTTTTAAAGGGGAAAGCTAAGGTAAAGAAATGACTGAAATGTCATCAGGATTATTTAATAAAGCAATTATGCAAAAAAATCAGTGAGTCAGATCTAATAATCAGCAAATCTAAAGTTTATTTAATAAACTCTGCATTTATTTGTGCACATTTCATAAAATCTCAAAATCACCACCGAAAGCAAACAAAAATCAACAACAAAACGAAAAATAAAAAAAAAAGATGTAAACAAAAAAAAAACCCCAACAATTTTATCAAAAGGAAATGCTCAAGGAAATACCTTTGGTCTTTTAAGAACAAAACCCATCTTTTTCCTCCACTAGCAATGCATTTGGGAACTATAATAAAGTAAAAACAAGAAATTAAATAAAATATGATTTGGAAAAATATTCTTGGAACCAAAAACTATTAATTCCTTTGCTTAAGAAAGGGATTTCAAAATTGAGTGTGTTTTCCTTGCTTGTTGTCCTACCTCCCCTGTCTCCTTTTCCTCTAACGATGGTGTGAACTGAGGATAAACAGTCAAGAGTTAATATTGCTTTCTTTGGCAGCTTATGTTTTATTTGCAATCTTGATACACATGTGTATTTGTAGGTGCAAAATAAAAGGCAAATTGTGTGATGTTATAAATAGGTAGGATTCTTGAATGGTCACTGGAGGAATCACCAGAAGACTGTTGATGAAGTAGAGGTGAAGCCTTTCCTCTCTAATTGTATTCAGCGTGTAATTTCTAAACTTCCCTCTGAATTTTGATTTTCAATTAACACTCCCCATTTGAAGATAATTTTCTATTTAATGTAATTGCAGGAAATAATTTATTGGCTGATTAAGACTGAGGACCCAGCCTTCCTTAAGAAAACATTCTAACAAACCATCCTTTAAACTCAACTCAGAGATTTAGTCTATTTTTACAGCTGCAGAGTTGTGTTTAATTAGGACTGCACACTATTGTTCACTGGTGCAGTTTATAGTTGAAATTATTCTTAAGAGACTGTTTTCATTTTGGGTTTTGTCATGATTAATTTATACTAAAGGAGCAATCATAGACTTTGCTGTTGGAAGGAGCCGATTCACTTTATAGTAAGAGGATGTTTGTTGAAGGAACTAAAGTCACTGATTTTTGGATCATCACTTTCAATTGTATTTAACTATTTTTAAAAGCAGAAGTAAATTCATTCTTTTGTTTTTAGCATAAATGATTATCGAAGTTTTCAGTATCTGAACTATGAAATCACTCTTGTTTGTGGCAAGCTCTTGATAAACTTGCAGAACAGTTATTATTTGCCTGGTTTTACTAATAGTAGTTATGGGGCAAGTAAAGTAAGCCATATAGTAATTCTCTTATACTAAGAGGCATACTTTGGCTACTTTTTTCATAATCATATATACGTTTGTTCATTTGTTAGTATTGATATAAATTGGTCAAGAATATATTTGTCAGATTTACTGATATAGCATTCTTTAGAACATTTAATTCATTTCTCCTCAAAGAAATCATAGGCATTCTTTTGCATTCCCTTTCCCCCATTTTATTCTCTAGTATCAAATTTAATATATATAATTTTTACTAGTTGTAGAATGATTATTATAAGTAGGTATCAGCATTTTAATATGTTTCAAAGCACTTCAAAAGCTTGTAATACTTTTATTTAGAGCTGTGCATAATTAGATTAGCTGATCTTATATTAATTTTTTTCACTGTAGGATACTAAATCTGAGCCCCCTCATTAATTGTGAGAAATTTAGCATTAGCTGTTAAATCCTATGTGAAACATGGGCTGCTACATAAAAACTACTGTTTAAATTGGAATTAACTTAATTATTTTTCTTTGCACTTGATATTTCCTTCACTGCAATATTCATGAAAGCATGTGACAGATTTGTAAATTTAACTGTTAATCTCAGATTTCTAGACCCTTTAATCAGTATTTATTTGTCTGTAGAAACAGTACTAGCAAGTTAATGATTTGCTAATTTGAAAAATGCTCATGTGGTTTCCTATGTTAACTGATTTGTGCATTTTTAAAAAAATGGTATGAAATCAATTAATGTTAAATAGCAATTAAGGTGGAGATTTTATTCCTTTCATTACACAGCAGTTTTAGAGCTAAAGAAGCAATAAACCAAAAACAATGTAAAGTTTTAGAAAAAAATATTCAATTGACTCTCTGTTAAGTTTCAGTCATTTTATTTTCTAACCATTTTGCTAAGAAATTCATTTTGATAAAGTGATATTCTAAACATTTTGAAATTCTACTTAATAGTCATGATTTTCTGATTTTATATGAGAGCACAGAATGGAGACCTTGTCATGCAGAGTGTAGTCGATGTTTATTTGTGAGCATATAAATGAATGTTCAGCATTGTTTTTGGAGGTTTTGAATATTATGCACAGTAGGCATTTTACTATTTTTATAGTAAATGTTTTGAATCTTGTATGTACTTTCTAACATGAAATTGAGGTATAGCTATTTCAGATACTCAATTCAAATGCTACAAAATTGCCTTAAAACTAATCTAATAGTATCAATCAATATGTCGTTTAAAAGTTAAGTTACAGTTGACTAATTTTAAAGGTCTTTTAAAAAGCTTTAGATGGCACTAAGTAGCGTTAGGCCCAGCCCTCATAATACAAGGTGTAAACAAATAAGTCAGGATCAGATTTACTTAGGACTTTAATTATGAATTATTTACTCTCCTGATTATATTTTCCTACATATGCTTCTTTTGTTCCTACATAAACCATAGGGGAAAGTTGGATATTTGTGCTTTTAAATCATCTTGCAAACTAACTCATTTGCCAGTTCATTCATTCATTTTTTTTTCCATTGCTATCACCTTAAATACTCTCAAGAAGCTTATAATCTAGTCAAGAAAACTAGGAGGAAAAATATATACATACATACGGTGTCCGTTATGAAAACTTACTCTGAAAAAAAATCATTAATGGATTGTAAGAGAGAAAATATGCAGTGATTACTGGGAAGAGGTTTGCTGAGTTAAGAGCAAAGAGGGAAAGCAAGACACATAAGCCGAGAGTTCTTTTTCAGGGGTTTAAAGACCATAAATATCTCTAAAGTTAAATAACTTTCCTTTTTTCCTGAACTAGTCAAATGCAAGGGATGGTTTACTCTTTTGTTATTGACAGCCATTTTTAATCCATTCTGTTTTCCTTCTGCAGAAGAATGTCTTCCAAGCAAGCCACCTCTCCATTTGCCTGTGCAGCTGATGGAGAGGATGCGATGACCCAGGATTTGACCTCAAGGGAAAAGGAAGAGAGCAGTGATCAACATGTGGCCTCCCATCTGCCTCTGCACCCCATAATGCACAACAAACCTCACTCTGAGGAGCTACCAACACTTGTCAATACCATTCAACAAGATGCTGACTGGGACAGCGTTCTGTCATCTCAGCAAAGAATGGTGAGCTTTTAAAATCTGACCACTGCTACTAAGTGCATTCCTCAGTACATCCTCATTATAAATAGACGTTTTAGGGAAATAGATGACATAGTACTAAGATACTAATAACTGGAAAAACTTGAAAAATGGTTTGTGATTTAGTGTGTATATGTTCATTATTAGGCCAATGTGCAAAAAGATATTTTATTGATTGATTTTTGTGGGAGGATTGGTTATCTTAGTCTATCAATCCATGAATTTAAGGTGATTAACTTGGTAATAGCACAAAATCAGTATGATCAAATAAAGGATGGCTATGTATTAATGTTGAAAAATGTAATTAAGCAAATATGTGTGAATGAGGTAATATGTTGACTACATTGTCAATGAGAAAATTCAGGTGTTTATCAATTTTAATGATCATTCTTGATTTATAATAAAGCTTTTCTCACTTATGTGCCTATATATTAATTTCAAAAGGGCATGCAAACCTCGTTAGAATCATTCAATCAGACTACTGGAGTTTTCTCGAAAAGTAGAAACAACATCAAATACATGCAGTATATTAGCCAGCTTTCCCATGTTAAATTCCATCTCTAACCATCAAAACAGAAACCATAGTAAGTGACATTAATTATCTAGTTTAAAGCAAAAATATTCAATTTTTTAGCATCTAGAAGAGGTTAAAATGTTAATATAATTTATTAGAAGTTTTAAATCCTGTTCTGCATTTCTTAATTTTTGGCTAACAAAAATTAAGTTAATGAAAAATATTTTAAGTGGGCACTGAGAAAATTTGTATTTCTTAACATAAACAAGGTAATATTTACAATACCTTTACTACTAATAACAGATAATTAAATTCTTATTCAATGCTCTATGTCTCAGAGACTTAATTCAGTAATTTATGAAGGCAGACATTTTTCTTTTCCAGATGATTTTGCAGACATAGCTAGTGCTCTGGAGCAGTAGGTGAAAAGCAGGAGATTGAAAGATAGTTTCTGGACTAATTTTAGTTTTGAAGGGGATCAAAATTGTGCAATTAAATTCACTGGAAGATTTGTTTTTCCTGAGTAGGAAGAAGGTAATAAAGCGAGACCGCTTGTCTGATTGAACTTAAGTTGTTCATTTTACACCTCCAAGGTGAAATAGATATCCAGTCACTGCTACTTGCTTATTGGCAAGATAATGGAGCTAAGTTTCATTTTTATTTCAGCAAATGTTTATTGAGTACCAACTATGTGTCAAGCATTCTATTAGGTCCTGACTAGTGCTGAACAAAGCAGACATGATTCATGCCTTCACGGAGTTTGTAGTCTAGGAGAGGAAATAGAAGTTAAATAAATATACACATAAATATACAATTAAAATTGTGATATGTGCTATGTATTAGGAGAAAGAACAGAATGCTATGTGAGAACATAATGGGGCAAACCCAATTTAGAATAGATGGTTAGGAATGCCCTCACTGAGCCACGGATGGAAAGAACTAACCAGGTAGAGAGGAACAAATTGTAAAAATGCAGAGAGAACAGCATGTATGAAGTATTTGAAGTTACTGCTTAATTTTACAAAGTAAAAGATGGCCTTTGTCGCTGGAGAGTTATGACTGAGGTTGTAATATAGCATAAGATATAGTTGGAGAGATTGGTAGGGGCTGTATCAAACAGCGCCTTGGAGATAACATTATGGATGTGAGATTTGATCTAAGTTCAATGGAAAACGTTTGAAGCATTCAAAAACATTTCAGACAGATAAATTCTGGCTGTGATATAATAAATGGATGGGAGAGAGACAAGAGTGAAAGAAGGAAGACCCATTGGGAATATATTTCAGAAATTTAGGTGAGAGATGAGGGGCTTGGATTAGTGTAAAGGAAGAGTGGCTAGAGAGAAAGGATAGGTTTAAGATATATTTTGGCTTTGACAAATAAAAGTAACTGCACTGGAAAATATGGGTAGAAGGAGAAATAATACAGTTCAAATTTTATTTCCTTGAGAACACTATACTTATTTTTCCAAGAAAAATTTTGTTTGTATCTTGAAAAGTGCCAAGTTGCTTTGGTGCATTATTCTCAAACTTTTATGATCTAAAATTTCATCTTAAAATATATGTTAATAATTTTCCTACCAAATTTATATTACATGTGATTTATGATGGTATGAAATGGTTTAATGGTACAAATAAGTTATATATTAATGTAAAAGATATCATACTTGCTAGACATGTTTTCAAACTTTCACTTTCCTTTGCTATCAAGTATCGGTTTCCACTGGAGCCTTTGTGTATTCCGAATGACTGGAAGCCAAAATATTTTGTTTTAACTCCCACTCTATAGTATTTCCCAGCTGTGTACTTATATGGTGTAATAAAAGGATTTAACAAATGGGAAATAGCAGCTGCATTTGGAAATTCCCTTTGTGCTTCTTTTTCACTGGATAGATTCAATAATGTGTAGCAATTGTAACATCAGACCTGTAATGATTTATACTGTTAATATCATATCACTAACCAATTTTTCTTTAAAGGAAAAAAAAAAACCATAAAAAGATTTTAGGTTTCTGGGCAGACCTGCAAACCTACCTATATATTGTGTGTGTATGTGTGAATGTGTGTTGGAGTGGGAGGACTGCACTAACGTAAAATTTAATAAACATTTTACCTCATTCTACTTTAAAATAAATATGAAGTCAAAAAGGATGTTTATGAAATCAAGTAAAACTTGTAGTTTTCTTTAATGGATCATATTCTATAATTATAATTGAGTCCCCAAAAATAGTTGTGAAAAAATAAAATTTAAAAGAAAATTAAAAAATAACAACAACAATTTTTCTCAGTAACTATACAGCCTCCATTGTTATTTACTATCTGTGATGGCCCTCATGGCCCTCATTCATGAGCTGTTAGAAACAAGCCCTGAAAGTTTCTTATCTCCTGGCTTCAGGAAGGGTTTTACTTTGAAATATCATGACCACAGAGGAACTTTTCTGTCAGAGAAGGTGAAGACAAAGCAAAGAAGTTCTGCTAATTCCCACTTCCTGATTAGAAAAAAAAGAATCTTTAAATGTAAAAATTCTGATTATTTTGAGATGGCACTGCAACAAAATATGAGACCACACAGGTTCAAACAAGAAAAATCATTTATAATGGCATAAGCAAAGAAGGAGAATAGAAATTTTAGAAATAGGATTTCAAGGACCAGTTTGAGATAAAAAGTTTTTAGATTCTGATTTTAATCCTAATTACCTATTTCATAGACACCAAATTGTTGAATTATAAACTTAATGTGCTATGTTAATTGCTGAAAGCCATTTGAAGGTTGGAAAGTTAGTGTAAATATTCTCTATCCACAACCACTACCGCTTTCATCATGGCACCTAGTGTGCCAATAGCTTTTTTTTGCAGAGGAATGTTGACACTGTCCACTAAAATGTGTTTTTGTTCTCATTAGGACTGAATAATTAGGCTGGAATAAATTCGCATAATTTTTTTCGTGGAAAAATATACAGCATATTATTCTTTTTGATGTTCATAAGCATGGAGAGGAATATTTTTGTGATAATGTTTTGTGACCTGTATATGATATTGTGTGTAATGATTATCTGCTGAATATTACAACTGTAGAAAGGACAGCTAAACTTATATATTGTGAGTGATCTTGCCTGCCAGTTACATACAGTTTTTTGATGCAAATTATATATAGCTACTTATTGTATCAAACAGATAAATTGAGATGTATGTGTTATTTTGAGCCCTCCCTTTGTTACTTTTTTTTGTTTTTGCTTTAGAGTATAATTTAGAAAGGAGTCGTTATCACCACTGGGTGCCTGAGTATATAGTACCTACTAAAGTTCCAGGCACAGGGACTAACTTGTGAATAATAAAGATAAGATCTCTGTTATCATATAACTTAGAGCCTAGTAGTAGGACAGATAATAAAGAAGTCTTATAGAGTGAAACAATTTCAGACAATGATAAGTACTATGAAGAAAATTAAGTAAGAAAATGTGATAGAGAGTAACTCCTTTAAAAGACTGGAGAAGGTCTTTTCCAGGAGGTGACATTTGAGCTGAAATTTGAATAACAAGAGAATCGCTGTGCAAAGATTTGGGGAAGACACCCAGCCAGAGTGTATAATAAGTACAAAAGTCTTCTGGTTTGTATGTTAGAGAAACAGAAAACAACGGGGTGACTGGTGAGGGAGAGAATGGTATGAGATGAAATCAGGGAAGCAGGGATGACAGATATTATGGAGTCTCACAGGCTAGGTGCTTAAACTTTCTTTCAAGTGTAAGTAGAAGCTGTTAGAAAATTTTAAGCAAGGGAGTAACATGATTTGATTTATGTTTTTAAAAGATCACATTGCCTGCTATGTAGAGAGTGGATTGTGAGAGAGAACATCAGAAACAGGGACACCGGTTAGGAAACCACTGCAGTAATGCAAATGAGAGTTTGATGATACCCAGAGTGAACAGTTAGGGAGGCTATTTATTGGAGAGTTCTCAGAGATTCTGAAGAAGACAAAATTCACACAAAGGGTGGAGAGAATGTTTTAAGTAATGTCCATGTGGGCAGAAACTTAGTCAAGAATGACAAGAAATGAGGTTGGTGAGACCAAGGAGAGGAGGGAAGGGAATAGAAATACTATTGGGCAGAGAAAGGCCCCAGGTGAGAGACAAGCTTTTTGCCTAAGAAGCAATTGTTAGTAGGTGACTTCTGTGGTAGGCCATGGATATGTGGGTAACGCACCAATACTCTCATGAGATACAAAATGTGATGACTGTAAGTGGGAACTTACGCACATGTACATGTGTACACTTACATGCATTCTTATATTGATATATAATTTAGGCAAAAATATACATCTGGCTTTTAACTACCAGTCTAACTAGGTTGAAATAATGATAGTGAAGGCTCAGCCCTGGAATATCAGAACTCCTTATTTTAGAGACCTGCTTAAATTCCTCCAGGGAAGTTTTATCTTCTAGAGATGTTCTTTTATTTTTAAATTATACTTTAATTTCTTGGGTAAATGTGCAGAGCATGCAGGATTGTTACATAGGTATACATATACCATGGTGGTTTGCTACTTCATCCCCCCATCAACTACATTCGATATTTCTCCCAATGTTATCCCTCCTCAATATCCCCACCCCCCACTATCCCTCCGCTAGTATCCCATCCCTCAACAGACCCCATTATGAGATGTTCCTCTCCCTGTGTCCATGTGTTCTCATTGTTCAACACCCACCTATTAGTGAGAACATGCAGTGTTTGGTTTTATGTTCTTGCGTCAGTTTGCTGAGAATGATGGTTTCCAGATTCATCCATGTTCCTACAAAGGACACGAACTCATCATTTTTTATGGCTGCATAGTATTCCATGGTGCAGATGTGCCACATTTCCTTTATCCAGTCTATCATTGATGGGCATTTGGGTTGGTTCTTTGCTTTTGTAAACAGTACTGCAGTGAACATATGTGTGCATGTTTCTTTATAATAGGACAATTTGTAATCTTTTGGGTACATATCCAGTAATGGGATTGCTGGGTCAAATGATATTTCTAGTTCTAGATCCTTGAGGAATCGCCAAACTGTCTTCCGCAATGATTGAACTAATTTATACTCTCACCAACAGTGTAAAAGTGTTCCTGTTTCTCCACATCTGCTCCAGCATCTGTTGTCTGCAGATTTTTTAATGATTGCCATTCTAACTGGCATGGGATGGTATCTCATTGTGGTTTTGATTTGCATTTCTCTAATGACCAGTGACGATGAGCTTTTTTTCATATGTTTGTTGGCCACATAAATGTCTTCTTTTGAAAAGTATCTGTTCATATCCTTCACCCACTTTTTGATGGGATTGTTCGTTTTATCTTGTGAATTTGTTTTAGTTTTTCATAGATTCTGGATATTAGGACTTTGTCAGATGGGTAGATCACAAATTTTTTTTCGCATTTTGTTGGTTTCTGGTTCACGCTAATGATTATTTCTTTTGCTGTGCAGAAGCTCTTAAGTTTAAAAAAGCTCTTAAGTTAAAATAGACGAATAAGAACTATTTGTCTATTTAAAGACAAATAGTTCTTATTTGTTTATTTTGGCTTTTGTTGCCATTGCTTTTTGGTGTTTTAGTCATGAAGTCCTTGTCTATGCCTATGTCCTGAATGGTACTGACTAGGTTTTCTTCTAGGGATTTTATGATGTTAGATCTTATGTTTAGATCTTTAATCCATCTAGAGTTAATTTTTGTATAAGGTAAAAGGAAGGGTTTCATTTTCAGCCTTCTGCACATGGCTAGCCAGTTGTTCCAACACCATTTATTAAACAGGGAGACCTTTCCCCATTGCTTGTTTTTGTCAGGTTTGCCAAAGATCAGATGGTTGTAGATGTGTGGCATTACTTCTGAGGTCTCTGCTCTATTCCATTGGTCTATATCTCTGTTTT